TGAATGAAAAGTAATGCCTCCACCTCCGTTACTTGGGTTTGGATGAGAATATTTTAATAAATCAAATGCAGAAATAATCCTTGGAATGTGCTCTTTAACTACTACTATTCACTTTTGACATAATCACCAGATAATTGGATACATAATCACCAGATACCAGCCACAGGGAGGAGGGAGCAAGATTGTTTTCTGCTTCCCTGGAGACTAGGATGCGGAACAATGGCTTCAAACTACAAGAGAGGAGATTCCATCTGAACATGAGGAAGAACTTCCTGACTGTGAGAGCCGTTCAGCAGTGGAACTCTCTGCCCCGGAGTGTGGTGGAGGCTCCTTCTTTGGAAGCTTTTAAGCAGAGGCTGGATGGCCATTTGTCAGGGGTGATTTGAATGCAATATTCCTGCTTCTTGGCAGAATGGGGTTGGATTGGATGGCCCACGAGGTCTCTTCCAAGTCTTTGATTCTATGATTCTATTATTCTATGATTCTTTGATTTTATGATTCTATGATAATTGGATACATTTCTGCCAATGATGAACAAGTTTTCCAAAGCCGTCATGGATTGACAGATTAGAGATGGGCCAAAACTAACAAAATGAAGTTCAATGGGGACAAATGCAAGATACTCGACTTTGGCAGAAAAAACAAAATTCAAAGATACAGAATGGGGGACAATGATGCCTGGCTCGAGAGCAGTACGTGTGAAAAAGATCTTGGAGTCCTTGTGGACAGCAAGTTAAACATGAGCCAACAATGTCATGTGGTGGCTAAAAACGCCAATGGGATTTTGGCCGGCATCAAGAGGAGCATAGTGTCTAGATCTAAGGAAGTCATGCTCCCCATGCTCTATTCCACTTTGGTTAGACCACACCTGGAATATTGTGTCCAATTCTGGGCACCACAATTCAAGAGAAATATTGACAAGCTGGAATGTATCCAGAGGAGGGCGACTCAAAGGATCAAGGGTCTAGAGATCAAGCCCTATGAGGAGCGGCTTAAGGAGCTGGGCATGTTTAGCCTGAAGAAGAGAAGGCTGAGAGGAGACATGATAGCCATGTGTAAATACGTGAGGGGAAGTCATAGGGAGGAGGGAGCAAGCTTGTTTTCTGCTTCCCTGGAAACTAGGATGCAACGGAGCAATGGCTTCAAACTACAAGAAAGGAGATTCCATCTGAACATTAGGAAGAACCTCCTGACTGTGAGAGTCGTTCAGCAGTGGAACTCTCTGCCCCGGAGTGTGGTGGAGGCTCTTTCTTTGGAGGCTTTTAAACAGAGGCTGGATGGCCATCTGTCAGGGGTGATTTGAATGCAATATTCCTGCTTTTTGGCAGAATGGGGTTGGACTGGATGGCCCACGAGGTCTCTTCCAACTCTAGGATTCTCTGATTCTATGGAAGAAGTCGACACTCTGTTTCCACAACCAGCATCTCACAGTTCTCTCAACGTCTTCATTAGAAGCATAACGATGTCCCCGCAGATCTTCTTTCATTATCGGGAACAGATGGAAGTCAGACATTGCTAAATCTGGACTATATGGAGGATGCCGTATGGTGGTAAGATCCAGTCTCCGAATTTTTAAGTCTGTGCACTTTCATTTCATGACTCAGCATCCTGGGTACCCATTGTGCACAGATTTTCTGATAGCCAAGCAAAGTAATAATGTGTCCCACACATTCTTGGGAAATGCCAATTATGCTTGAAATTTCTCTCCGAGTAATACGACAATTGTCCTGAATCAATCTGTCAACCTTTTGTTTCTGAAACTTGGTGGTTGCTGTCACAGGATGTCCAACTCTTTCTTTGTCACGCAAGTGAGATGCTCCCACCTCAATATCTTTAAACTTACTCGCCCAATGACCAGCACCCCACAGTTCTCACAACGTCTTCATCAGAAGCATCATGATGTCCCCGCAGATCTTCTTTCATTATCGGGAACAGATGGAAGTCAGATGGTGCTAAATCTGGACTGAATAGAGGATGCCGTACGGTGGTGAGATACAGTCTCTGAAGTTTCAAGTCTGTGCACTTTCATTTCAGGCATCAGCATCCTGGGTAGCCATTCTGCACAGATCTTCCGACAGCCAAGCAATAATATGACCCATACGTTCTTGTGAAATGCCGATTATGCTTGAGTGATACGACAATCGTCCTGAATCAATCAGTCAACCTTTTGCTTGTGAAACTCGATGGTTGCTGTCACAGGACGTCCAACTCTTTGTTTGTCACGCAAGTCAGATGTTCCCACCTCAACATATTTAAACTTACTCTCCCAATGACGCACAGTACTCACATCAACACAATCACCATAAACAGCTTGCATTCTCTGATGAATCTCCTTTGGGGTGACACTCATATAGTCCAGTTCAGGTATGCAACAGGTACTGACCTGTTCAGTAGACTCTCCTCTACAGTTCCATTTTGGAAGGAAGCCTTAGCATTGAACGGTTGTGTTGTTAAACTGCAAAGTATGGAACCCTGCGCAGACGGTCAATGCGACTTAAGCAACGTGCAGTCATTGAATTCTTGACAGCAGAAGGTTTCACCTCAACGTCTTTAAACTTACTTGCCCAATGATGCACAGTACTCACATCAACACAATCACCATAAACAGCTTGCATTCAATGATGAATCTCCTTTGGGGTGACACCTTCTGCTGTCAAGAATTAAATGACTGAACGTTACTTAAGTCACAATGACCGACTGTCAGTGCAGGGTTCTACACTTCACACTTCAACAACGCAACTGTACAATGCTAAGGCTTCCTGCCAAAATGGAACTGTATAGGAGAGTCTACTGAACAAGCCAGTACCTGCTGCATTCCAGTACTGAGGGACCGCCTAACCCCCTACCAACCCCAGAGATCCCTCTGTTCTGAGGACCAAGATCTATTGGAAATTCCTAGTGTCAAGACCTTGTGTCTAACAGCAACCTGACGCAGAGCCTTTACAGCAGTGGCATCATCACTCTGGAATACTCTGCCACCTGAAGTCCATGCCTTGCGGGACTTATCAGCTTTCCGCAGGGCATGTAAGACATACCTGTTTCAACAGGCCTTTGATTTTTGATATTGCTGTTTTTAAATTGTTTTAAATTGTTTTTTAAAACAATTTAAATTGTGTTAGATTTTAGCCATTCTTGTAAGCCGCTCCGAGCCCCAGGGGAGTGGCGGCATATAAGTTCAAATAATAAATAAATAGATAAATCTATTGAGGAGTTACGAAGGTGGAGGCATTACTTTTCATTCAACCCTCAGACATAGGTTTCGCTGTTGATTGTGGCACCATCTTCCAGGAAATCAACAAGAATAACAACTTGTGTGTCCTGAAATACTGTTGTCATAACCTTCTGTGCTGATCTGGTAGACTTGAATTTTTTTTTTGGGATGTAGAGAACCACCGAGGTGCCATTCCTTGGATCTACATAGGAACCCAAAAATGCAGTGTGGCCCAAACACGAATCAAGGAACATGAAAGGCACTGCAGGGTACTTCAACCAGAGAAGTCAGCCATAGCAGAGCACCTGAGGAACCAACCTGGACACAGCATATTATTGGAGAAGACAGAAATGCTGGACCACACCAACAACCACCATGTCAGACTACACAGAGAAGCCATTGAAATCCACAAGCATGTGGACAATGTCAACAGAAAGGAAAAAACCATGAAAATAAACAAAATCTGGTTCCCAGTATTAAAAAAAACTCTAAAATTATAACAGTAAAGAAAAAACAAAATTCCAACACAGGAGAACTCCAGAGAAGAAACAATCAGGAACATCTAATCACCTCTCAACAAAGGATTCCCCCAGGCAGTAACAAGCCACACCAAAAAACTGCCAGGCCATCAAATGCTAATCAAGGTGGCCAATTGAAACATTCACACTTGCCTCCAACAGACAAGAGTTCTTCCTCCCGCCCTAGACGTTCAACAGATATATAAACCCCATTTTCCAAGTTTCCAAGAGACCTCACAACCTCAGAGGATGCCTGGCATAGATGTGGGCAAAACGTCAGGAGAGAATGCTTCTGGAACATGGCCAGACAGCCCAAAAAACCTAAAACAACCCAGTATTTCTGGCCATGAATGCCTTCGACAATCCATTTTCCTAGTTTCCAACAGACCTCACAACCTTTGAGGATGCCTGGCATAGATGTGGGCGAAACGTCAGGAGAGAATGCTTCTGGAACATGGCCAGATAGCCTGAAAAGTCTGCAACAATGCAGTGAATGCCTTCAACAATCCATTTTCCTAGTTTCCAACAGACCTCACAACCTTTGAGGATGCCTGGCATAGATGTGGGCAAAACGTCAGGAGAGAATGCTTCTGAGACATGGCCAGACAGCCTGAAAAGTATGCAACAACCCAGTGAATGCCTTCGACAATCCATTTTCCTAGTTTCCAACAGACCTCATAACCTCTGAGGACGCCTGCCTGAGATGTAGGCGAAACGTCAGGAGAGAATGCTTCTGGGACATGGCCACACTGCCTGAAAAACCTACAACTCCTCAATGAATATTTCATTGAGTCTGAACCAATTCGACATAGTTTATGGCACAAAAACACAACTATTTTCAAAGTAAGGACCACACAATTTAATAGGAAATGACACTTTGAAACCAGGAAGAGAACCATGTTTCCAATGTTGTTACATAGTGTTTTGATCTGGAAGTGGAAAGGCATATAATCCAGATTAAAGTAAATAATCTGGGATCAGATCCTGGGATAATATAGGGCAGTGTAGAGGGAGGAGAAAGGGAAAGAAGCCTTTTGAGGGGGGTTTAGAGGAAAGGGGGAAGTAAATAAACTTTTGGGGAAACTTCAAGAAGTTGGAAAGAAACTCTGGAAAGTTGGAAAGAAACTTTGGAAAGATTGAAGAGAGTTCTAGAGAAAAGAGGGAAAGAAGAAGAGAATGGGATTCATTTCCTTTAGTGTTCCCCTCTCCTCTTTTGCAGCCCCCCATGTTTTGCAAAAGGGAAGAAGAAGGGAACTTCCTCTGCCTCTCACCTTGAGCTTCTCCTCCTCTCCAGCTTGAAAATCCCGGCTCTGATGCGCGTTAGTCCCCCTTCTTCCTTTCCTTTCCTTACTCCTTCCTTCCCAGGGTCAGCCCTGAGAGTCTCCTCCCCTTCTGGAGGAAGTGGGGCGGGATCTAGGAAAGAGAGAGTAAAAGAATGGGGAGGGGGAGGGCGCATTCCGACGAGACGCGGGGATTGCAACACGTGTCTTCGCAGGGGCCAGGGCTTTGCAAAGAAAGGATGGTTGAATGCAATTCCTCTTCATCCCATAGCTCAAGAAGGTGTAGGAACTGGAGACACAATGGGAGACCCATCTTCAAACTACAAAGCAGATCACAGGAGCTGTCTTGATAGACTTGTCAATAGCTTATGATACTATAAATCACCACCTCCTCCTGAGAAAAATGTATAGTATCACAAAGGACGACCACCTCACCCGCCTCATAGGAAACCTGCTACAAAACAGGAGCGTCTTTGTTGAGTTCCAGGAGCTGTCTTGATAGACTTGTCAATAGCTTATGATACTATAAATCACCACCTCCTCCTGAGAAAAATGTATAGTATCACAAAGGACGACCACCTCACCCGCCTCATAGGAAACCTGCTACAAAACAGGAGCTTCTTTGTTGAGTTCCAGGAGCTGTCTTGATAGACTTGTCAATAGCTTATGATACTATAAATCACCACCTCCTCCTGAGAAAAATGTATAGTATCACAAAGGACGACCACCTCACCCGCCTCATAGGAAACCTGCTACAAAACAGGAGCGTCTTTGTTGAGTTCCAGGAGCTGTCTTGATAGACTTGTCAATAGCTTATGATACTATAAATCACCACCTCCTCCTGAGAAAAATGTATAGTATCACAAAGGACGACCACCTCACCCGCCTCATAGGAAACCTGCTACAAAACAGGAGCTTCTTTGTTGAGTTCCAGGAGCTGTCTTGATAGACTTGTCAATAGCTTATGATACTATAAATCACCACCTCCTCCTGAGAAAAATGTATAGTATCACAAAGGACGACCACCTCACCCGCCTCATAGGAAACCTGCTACAAAACAGGAGCGTCTTTGTTGAGTTCCAGGAGCTGTCTTGATAGACTTGTCAATAGCTTATGATACTATAAATCACCACCTCCTCCTGAGAAAAATGTATAGTATCACAAAGGACGACCACCTCACCCGCCTCATAGGAAACCTGCTACAAAACAGGAGCTTCTTTGTTGAGTTCCACGGCGCCACCACTTCTCAAGCACCTCTACTACTTTCAGTCTTGTATTGCTTCCATAAAATACCAGACTGCATTGTTGTTGTTGTTTTTAGTTGCTCCAGGGCCAGAAGAATGGATCCAAGACCTTCAATCTCATTGCTGGAGCGGGATGAGTTTCACAAAAGGATTCAAGTGTCCTCAACTTGAGATGTCTTTCATAGAATCATAGAATCCTAGAGTTGGAAGAGACCTCATGGGCCATCCAGTCCAGCCCCATTCTGCCAAGAAGCAGGAATATTGCATTCAAATCACCCCTGACAGATGGCCATCCAGCCTCTGTTTAAAAGCTTCCAAAGAAGGAGCCTCCACCACACTCCGGGGCAGAGAGTTCCACTGCTGAACGGCTCTCACAGTCAGGAAGTTCTTAGAATCATAAAATCGTAGAGTTGGAAGAGACCTCATGGGCCATCCAGTCCAACCCCATTCTGCCAAGAAGCAGGAATACTGCATTCAAATCACCCCTGATAGATGGCCATCCAGTCTCTGTTTAAAAGCTTCCAAAGAAGGAGCCTCCACCACACTCCGGGGCAGAGAGTGCCACTGCTGAACAGCTCTCACAGTCAGGAAGTTCTTCCTCATGTTCAGATGGAATCTCCTTTCTTGTAGTTTGAAGCCATTGTTCCGAGTCCTAGTCTCCAGGGCAGCTGTGACTTCCTCTCCCTCTCCCTGTGACTTCCTCTCACATATTTATACATGGCTATCATATCTCCTCTCAGCCTTCTCTTCTTCAGGCTAAACATGCCCAGCTCTTTAAGCCGCTCCTCATAGAGCTTGTTCTCCAGAGCCTTGATAATTTTAGTTGCCCTCCTCTGGACACACTACAGCTTGTCAATCTCTCTCTTGAATTCTGGTGCCCAGAATTGGACACAATATTCCAGGTGTGGTCTAACCAAAACAGAATAGAGGGGTAGCATGACTTCCCTAGATCTAGACACTATGCTCCTATTGATGCAGGCCAAAATCCCATTGGCTTTTTTTGCCGCCACATCACATTGTTGGCTCATGTTTAACTTGTTGTCCACGAGGACTCCAAGATCTTTTTCACACGTCCTGCTCTCGAACCAGGCATTGTCCCCTATTTTGTATCTTTCCATTTCCTTTTTTCTGCTTAAGTGGAGTCTCTTGCATTTGTCACTGTTGGACTTCATTGTGTTAGTCTGGCCAATCTTCTCTCTAATCTGTGAACCATAGAGTGCAGGATGTATTTTCATTCTGAATACTGGTGTGGTTGGGGGGGATTAATTTTGTCATCTGGGAGTTGTAGTTGCTGATATTTATAGTCAACCTACAATCAAAGAGCATTCAGAACTCCACCAACGATAGAATTGAACCAAACTTGGCACACAGAACTCCCATGATGAAACAGAAAATACTGGAAGGGTTTGGTGGGCATTGACCTTGAGTTTTGGAGTTGTAGTTCATCTACATCCAGAGAGCACTGTGCACTCAAACAATGATGGATCTGGACCAAACTTGGCACGAAAACTCAATATGCCCAAATGTAAACACTAGTGGGGTTTGGGGAAAATAGACCTTGACATTTGGGAGTTGTAGTTTCTGGGATTTATAGTTCACCTACAATCAAAGAGCATTCTGAACCCTGCCAACGATTGAATTGGGCCAAACTCCCCACACAGAACCTCCATGACCAATAGAAAATACTGTGGTCTTTGGTGACCCCTCTGACACCCCCTTGCGACCCCTCCAGGGTTGTTGTAGGTTTTTTGGGCTATATGGCCATGTTCTAGAGGCATTTTCTCCTGACGTTTCGCCTGCATCTATGGCAAGCATCCTCAGAGGTAGTGAGGTCTGTTGGAAGTAGGAAAATGGGTTTATATATCTGTGGAATGACCAGGGTGGGACAAAGGACTTTTGTCTGCTGGAGCTAGGTGTGAATGTTTCAGCTGACCACCTTGATTAGCATTTAATGACTTGGAAGTGCCTGGGGGAATCTTTTGTGGAGAGGTGATTTGATGTGCCTGATTGTTTACCCTCTGTTGTTTTGCTGTTGTAATTTTTGAGTTTTTTAATACTGGTAGCATCACCTCTCAACAAAAGATTGCCCCCAGGCACTTCCAAGCCATTAAATGCTAATCAAGGTGGTCAGTTGAAACATTAATACCTAGCTCCAACAGACAAAAGTCCTTGGTCCCATCATGGTCTTTCCAGAGAAATATAAACCCATTTTCCTACTTCCAACAGACCTCACCAACTCTGAGGATGCTTGCCATAGATGCAGGCGAAACATCAGGAGAAAATGCCTCTAGAACATGGCCATATAGCCTGGAAAACCTACAACGACCCAGAAAGTACTGTGTTTTCTGATGGATTACTTATTATTATTATTATTATTATTATTATTATTATAAAATGCAAAATCCCAAACAGGTTTTGGTGACCCCCCCCCCCCCCCACAGAGGTCCTAACCACCAGGTTGAGAAACACTGCCCTAGAATACCTCGAGCTTTTTAGAGGAAACATATCTTACTCCAATCTGCCAAGAACCAAATCCACCAAAGTTAAACTTGCAAACGTGGCAGGACGAATCAGGGAGCGCCTTGGCACATCTGCATTTCGGTACAGCACCAGATGTTTCAGTCGAAGAATTAGTCAGCAAATGCTCTATAGCCGCAGGAAAGAACATTGACTGCCTTCTTTGCGAATGATGTCCAACCCAACTCCCAGCTTTGGATGGATTCATGGCTTCTTATTTCCCTGATACATGTCGCAGCATAAGCAGATCCCTTGCAAAGATTATGGATCGTGCAAAGAGTATAAATGGATTTTCGTAGAGTCACAGAGTTGGCAAGAGACCGCATGGGCCATCTAGTCCAACCCCTTCCTGCATTAAGGCAGGAAAAGCACAATCAAAGCACTCCAGACAGAGGGCCATCTGACCTCTGTTTACAAGCCGCCAAGGAAGGAGCTTCCACTGGACTGAGGCAGAGAGTTCCACTCTTGAACAGCACTTCTTCCTAATGTTCAGGTGGAATCTCCTTTCCTGTAATTTGAACCCATGGCTCAATTGACTTAGGCCCCTTTTATGCTGCAATATAATCCAGATTATCAAAACAGAGAATCCACATTACCTTGAGAATGGACCCAGTGGAATCCAGAGCAGTCACCAAGCTCCTTTCCTCAAAAGGTCGCATACCAAAGGAGACGCTCGGTAAGATGAAAGAGGTTCATGGTGCTGATTTCCCATCCTATGATGGAGTCAAGAACCGTCATCGTCCATTCCAATGTGGTCAGACTTCAGTGGAAACAACTCCAATTCCAGGGCAATCCCACTCTGCTATTGTTGAACACACCATCCAGCAAGTGGAGGTCGCTGTTTTGGAATATCACTGTGTAACAATTCGCCACCGAGCCCAAAATGTCGAGATGAGTGTGGGGTCAGTGGAAAAAAAATCACCCAAGACCATCTTCACCTGCATAAGGTATCCGCTCGCTCGTTGCTCACACCTTTCCAGAAGCAGAAATGAGTTGAATGCTCTCAGGCTCTCTTGACAATGATGTGCCATGGAAACCAGGAGGACTTTGTCAACAGACTGATCATACATAGTGAAAGCTGGGTCCACCACTCTGATCCTGAGACTCAAGTCCAGTCGATGTAATGGAGGCATCAACTGGACTTGAGCTTGTGCCAGCTGACTGGCACAACCTGGGGATCACAACCAGACACAGTGAAGACATCTGCCCTTGCGCTATGCTACTCTGCTGCTGAGTACGCATGCCCAGTGTGGAACACATCTCACCACACTAAAACAGTGGGTGTGGCTCTTAATGAGACATGCCGCATTATTATG